TATTTAAATCTCTGTAACCTACATCACTGGACACCTGAAGAGCAGGTACAACACTCTTGTCAGAGATGGACTAGGTGGGCTCAGTCCTTCAGCAGAGTAGGATGAGGGACCAACAACCCATCAGGTCACCAGGAGTTTCTGAAGTGTGATAAATTGAGCTGTGCAGAAGGGATCTGTTTTCCTGTGCCTGTTTAACTTGCATCAGCACTAAAGCAATGCTAACAGCCTACCTCTCTTCTTCAAAATCTTATGCAGACTTAACGTGATTGATTTTGCGCTTTTGTTGGGTGTTGGTGGGAGCTGCCATTTGCAATGCAGCGTTAACTGTTTCTGCTCCTGCAGGAGTTGGTGTCGATGACATGTTCATCATGATTGCTACCTGGGAGCAAAGCTCAAGGAAAAAAGAGAAATCCAATATTAAATCTCTGCTGGCCGAGACTTACGCAGAAGCAGCACTTTCTGTCACCATCACCACTCTCACAGATGTTTTGGCCTTCTTCATTGGCACCTGGACTGCTTTTCCGTCCGTGAGATCGTTTTGCCTCTATACAGGCACCGCTTTTGTCTTCTGCTATTTATATACCCTGACCTTCTTTGGGGCAATTATTGTATTAAATCATAAAAGGGAGCAAGGAAACCGGCACTGGCTAACTTGTATGCCTGTGGGAGTAGATGAGGATCGGGCGGACAAGTCCTGCTTGTACAATGCTTGCTGTATAGGCAGCTGTTCTAGGCAGTCCTCTCAGCCAGGAAGTGAACATCCAATGAGCGTATTCTTCAGAAAGTACTACGGCCCTTTCTTCACCAATAAATGGATCAAGCTGCTTGTGGTGGTGCTGTACGCAGCGTATTTGGGTGGCAGCATTTATGGATGTACTCAGATCAGGGAAGGCATCGATCTTCGAAATCTGGCGAGTGATGGCTCCTACGTTATTCCATACTATGACGACGAGGACAAATACTTCTCAGCGTATGGACCCAGGGTGATGGTTGTCATTACGGAAAGTGTAGATTACTGGAATGAGACTGTTCGTCTTGGCATTGAGAACTGCACACAGAATTTAGAGGGCATTTCCTATGTAGATAAGAACCTCTCAGAGTCATGGCTGAGAGCATACACAACAGCTGCTCAAAGTGGTTGGATAAATATAAGCAATAAGACTCTTTTCATTAATAACTTGCCTAGCCTGTTCCGCTTTGTTCCCAGCTTTGAGTGGGACATTAACAAGACTCAGGATGAAATAGAAGCTTCACGTTTCTTCATCCAGACAGTGAACGTGACCTCAGCCGTTGATGAGAAGAATCTTCTCAATGAGTTAAGAGAGACGGCCGAGCAGTGCAGTATTCCGTTAATGGTGTACCACCCAGCGTTCATCTACTACGATCAGTACCTGG